CAACCGACTGGTTCGAGCAGACCGGCGGACCGGCCAGACCGGTTGATACCGGTTCAGCCCAAATAATGTTATTTTAATTCCAGTTCATGATTTCAGTTCCATTTTCACTCAATTCTGGGTCCAGTTCAGTTTAATAAATTCATGTCAGTCCAGTTTCGAATTTAGCCGGTTTCGATTGTACCAGTTAAATCCAATTATCATGTCAGGTTCAGTAGAGCATCTTAACATATTAAAATAATTATTTTATCAGGCTGAGCATAGTATTTAGTAATTGTTTATATTATTTTCAGTTTGACCAGGATCCGATATCAGCACTACCATTTTATTCAGACAGTTCAGGTGGGGACTCAGACTGGATATTACATTGATTATAATTATTCTACCTTGTTTGACGTATGCATTCTCAGTATCCGCTCGGAATGGTCACCGGTCTATTTTGGGTTCTAGTGGCCTTAATCTGCCCACTAGAGTGTGCACATGGTGTCCGACATTAGGTTTTGCTGGCAGATGTTCAGGTATCAGGCAGGTGACGATATTATCTCACCATCAGTATCAGATCATGATTATTCAGTACCGGTTTCATGTTCATGTTCATGCCAAGATCATGTTATTGTAATTATTTTCGATGTTTACTTTAGTACGAGTTTCCACGGAGCACAGTGTATTTTGGTGCTCACGACCCACGTTTATCATGTTTTTCAGGTCAGGATGTCGGGCCGGAGGTGTGAGATGACAGATGATTCAGGACTTTTGAGCATGTGATTGTAAATATTTTATGATGCTACGTTTCCGCTGATTATGATGTTTTGACGAACTTATCTTTTGATCAGACTTTCAGATATTCAATGCTTTCAGTAAACCGTAAAATATTGCTAAAGATTAAAATAACGGTTTTTCAGAATAAGTCACGTTTTTACGGTAGCACCCCGAATCAGTTTTCACATTTTAAAATATTTTATTTTAAAAGATTTTGCGAAATTACGCACTCTGATTTCACGATAAGGCGGGGTTTTACAGTTGGTATCAGAGCACGTTTCTGCGTCTCTGAAAATTTTACGGGTCAAAAAGTTTTGAAAAACCTGAATACGTCATACTCACTCCTCGTCGACTACAGGTAAGTGCTGATTCATGTTTTCAAATGATAAACAAGTACTATTTCTATGCTCAGAAATTTTCAGTAATAAATTAGTTAAGATGCTCGAATCATGTTCAGGACCAGTAGTCAGGATATCAGTGAGTATTTTTCCAGTCATGTTTAGCAACTCGTCAAGAGATCTGTGTGCTTTAGTGATCAGTTAAAGTATTTCATTGAATTTTAATCATGTCGAATCTTTTCAATATTCAGATGCCGCCCCATAGGGAACCTGAACAGCCAGCGGTCCCCCAGGCCACAGTGGTCGCACAGTTCCGCGACTACCACCCTGAGAAGTTCTCCGGCCAGGGAGATCCGCGTATTGTAGACGAGTGGGTTCAGGGCCTCAAATTGATTTTCGAGGTCATGGACTATCCAGATCGCTATCATGTTACTTGCGCACAGCTTCAGTTGACCGGTGATGCCCGACTCTGGTGGAATGCCTACTGGAGCATGCGTCCCGGCGAGAAAGAATGTTTTACCTGGGAGAGATTCAAGGAGATGATTCGGGAGAAGTACTATCTCACGTACTACCGAGCTGAGATGGAGCGGCAGTTTCTGTCGCTCAAACAGGGTACTCGTTCTGTTGATGAGTACGAGAGAGAGTTTACCAGACTTAGAGCCTTTGTTCCAGATTTGGTACGTACTGAGGCACAACGAGCGCAGCGCTTCACTAACAGGCTTTACCCAGCAGTCCGTCACAATATTGTAGGTCACGGGATCCAGACGTATGCTCGTACCGTTGCCATTCTCAGGAGGTGGATGCCAGCATTCGAAGGGAGGCGAACCATGATCGATTACAGCCAGTTGCCCCTGCCCAGTCATCCACAGTTCCACCGACTGTTGCCCAACCACCAAAGAACAACAAGAGGAAGGGGAAAGGTGCCCAGACGGACACGAGGACCCGACAGAGGCCGCAGAAGATCCCACAGTGCCCCACTTGCGGACGACTTCATCGCGGCGAGTGTCACATGGGCCAGGATATTTGTTACTATTGTCATGAGCCCGAACATTTCGCTAACCGCTGTCCGAAGAAACTCCAGCAGCAGCCACAGCAGCCCCAGCAGCCACAGCAGCAGCAGCAGCAGCAGCCCCGACAGCAGGCTCAGAGGCCACCACAGCAACAGCAGAGGGGCAGGCAGCAGGCCCGAGTTTATGCGGTTGATCAGGCAGAGGCAGAACAACACACAAGTACCATGTCTGGGATGCTTATGCTTAATGACATTCCTGTCTTTGCCTTATTTGACACGGGAGCGACTCATACTTTTATATCACGAGGATGTCTCGATGTCATCGGAGTTCATGTCAGTACCGCTGTCGATCCTCTCGAGGTAAGTTTAGCCTCGGGACGAAAGATAGTGACTTCAGCCAAAGCCACAGACCTCAGTCTTTCTATCGGTGGTCGTATATTGTCTACCGATGCTTATGTTCTCGAGATGAGGGATTTTGACCTCATAATCGGCATGGATTGGCTAACGCATTTTCATGCAGATATCCGATGTCATGACTGGGAGATTACCCTTTTTCTTCCGGGAGACGATCAAATCACTTTCTTCAGCACTAAGACTCGTTCCTTGCCCCATGTCATTTCTATGACGAAAGCTAGAAAGATGTTACGACGAGGCAACTGTCATGGTTATCTCGTCAGCCTTGTCGATGATTCTCCGAAGGCACGCTCACCTCATGATGTCCCTATTGTTCGGGAGTTTGTGGACGTGTTTCTGGACGAGCTTCCAGGAGGACTGCCTAACCGGCAGGTGGAGTTGTCCATTGATCTTATTCCAGGGGCCGGTCCAGTTTCTAAAGCACCCTACCGTATGGCATTGAAGGAGTTGCAGGAGCTTAAGGCACAAATTCAGGAGTTATTACGACTCGGTTTCATTTGGCCGAGCGTTTCACCTTGGGGAGCACCCGTTCTCTTTGTCAAGAAGAAGGACGGATCCATGTGCATGTGTATCGACTACCGAGATCTGAACCGGTTGACGATCAAGAATAAGTACCCGCTTCCCAGGATTGACGATTTATTTGATCAGCTGAGGGGAGCTTGCATTTTCTCTAAGATTGATTTGAGATCCGGCTACCACCAGCTGAAAATCAATGAGTCAGACATTCCCAATACGACTTTTCGTACTCGTTACGGTCATTACGAGTTCATTTTCATGCCATTCGGCCTCAACAATGCCCCTGCAGTATTCATGGATCTGATGAACCGTATTTTCCATCCCTATCTCGATCAGTTTGTCATCGTTTTCATTGATGATATCCTTATCTACTCAAAGAGCCAGAAGGAACATGAGAAGCATCTTAGGGTTGTTCTAAAGACCCTTAGACGAGAAAAGTTGTATGCAAAATTCTCCAAGTGCGAATTCTGGCTCCGACGAGTAGCTTTTCTTGGTCATGTGATTACGCAGGCAGGTATTGAGGTTTATCCTTCCAAGGTTGCAGCCGTTCAGAACTGGTCGACACCGAAGAGTCCGTCCGAGGTTCGCAGTTTTCTCGGCTTGGCTGGTTATTACCGCAGATGTTGGAACCCATGAGAATCTCGATATGCACAAATCACGGAAAAACATTCAACATAAACCTATGCGCAGCGGATCTAAAGGTTTGATGAAGAAAACTTACAGCTTAAAATTTATGTAGATCTGGCTGGCCTGAACAGTTGACCGCAAATCAAATCTTCACGGAATCGAACAAACTTGACCAATCCAGAAAGCTGACGTCACGGCGAAGTCAACGGCGTTGACCGATCGGAAATCGGCCTTCTCACGCGCTCTCACGCGCGACGACAAGTTCCAGCAGCAGGTTCCTCCCGGCGGCGCGTGGCGGCGCGTGCGGCGTCGGCTGGCGGCGATCTCGACGGCTATCTCTTCGTCTCGTCGTCCTGGTCGTCGTGGTAACACTTGCTGGTTTTGGTCTCCAGTTTGGATTTATGATTGGAATCTCTATATACCTTAAGATCTTCTACTGTATTCTCAAACAGCTCTCTAGATCTTGTATCAGTGGAACACAAGAAATAGAAGAACTCCTTGGAAAGAGAGA